TGAGGTCACATTCAAAAGGATTGGTTTATAGGTTCTAATTTAGTTATTTTGATTTCATTTCATGACATTTTTTGTTTGTTTCTACCTCTGATCGATTGGTTAAACAAAATTTCAAATGTTTTTTAATTGTTACACTTTCAAATACATATATATTAAAGTGTTTTTATCCATGACCGATTTTAAATATATATATATGTTTGATTGCCGGTCCGGTTTTATAAACATTGCCCATGATCCAAGAGCTTTTCTAGTTTGGTTGCGGGTCTAATTTTAGATCAGTGGTTAAATTATTAGTGTTTTTATCCTTTATAAGCATAATAGTGTGTGAGAAAACATAAGTTTGGGACATTATAGATGTTTTTACTGGTACTGACATGTTTATTGGAAGCATAATTATGCTTCCAATAAATATGGCGATATCAGTTTAGACATCCATAATGTCCCCAACTTTAGAATGCAATCCTGAAAGACCATCAATGCTTATTTTCAATTGCTAGCTCCATATCCTTGACTCAATGCAAAGCTTCAATCAAGAATGCTAAAGCCTAAAAAGAATAACAAAGTATGTTACCGAAAACCATAAATATCCCTCCTTTAATACAATTTAGATTACTCAGAACAAGAGAATTAACTACAATGAATAAGGACACTAACAATGTTCTCACAAGAAGCAAGGTGATCAACTATATTCTTATTGTCATAATTAAAATAGTTCATGCATAAGGTTTCCCATCTATCATCATCTTAAACGTACGATTTCTTAAAGTACCCCAAGAAGTAGTCATGGACAGCCAAAAGAACTACCAAATGAATATTATTAAGCGTTAAAATTCAATAAGTTCTAACAAATTTCCCAAAGAACATGCAGGCCAATCAAAAATGAAACTATGAAATCATCTACATTACGTATCTTATATATGCACAGTTTAAACACATTTTTTTCTTGTTATAGAAAGGGCGAGATGTGGTGTGCTTACTTGTGCGCCAAGGTTTTTGAAGGTTTTGGTGTCTTCAATTGAAATGGCAAATGGAGTTTCGTTGATGAGTCCATACACTTGGTCTTTTGTGAAACCTCTTTTGACTGCAAATCTTCCTCCAATTTGGTGGCCAAGATGTGAGGATGTCTACCAATAAAATAATGTCAAAGACACAACAAAGCTTGTAAATAAATAAACAATGAATTTCATTAATATTTTATCACAACAAACCTGTCTTATGCGGTCTTTGTCGGTTTTAAGAAGACCTCTATTGATGATGAAGTCCAAAGCGATGTTGATGTTGGTGATAGAGAGTTTATTGCTTTTGGACTTGACATTGGCGGAGAGATCTCTGATTGAGAATTGGTGATGCAAGCTAGGTTAGTGGTTTGTCTCTGTTGTAAAGCGCCTGAAAAAGTCGACACAAAGCCACCGAAGCACAAGATTCTCCAACTTGGTCATAGACATGACCAATGAGACCTTCAGCGAGAGTCCAGTTCTCGGATATAACAGAATCTGCAAATGGCTAAACAAACAGAAAAAGAAATTGAATTAATGATTGAATGATTGTCTTGAAGCGTATGTATCTCCAAACTGATTGAATTAATCTTCTTTATCCTCGTGTTCACGTACTTTCCACTATAAAACTGCTAAAAAATTACAAGACTAATTCATCTCTTTGAAAAATTTTAACAAATTTGAGAAAGCGACAGTTGTGATAAAAATCAGTGTAAATAGGAATCAGTGAAGCATGAGAAGACGTGAAATCGAAGTTAGTTTCTTTTTTCCCCAACATGGATAAATGTTACTCACCTATCTTTTTCATCAAATCAAATGACGCTAGCTATTGTCTCTAAGGCTTGTTATCGTTTTTCGACTGCAATAAGGTGAGTATTTCAGCATCACAATAAATGTTGCATCAAAAACTCTCAAAATGCACACAATTTGTGAGGATTGTTGATCCATTTGATGAACCACACTCTTTTGACATAGTTCACCTATTTTATTATTTTTAATGTCAAATTTTATTCAAACAAAAAAAATACTATTTTACATTGTCTGCTGAAAATTTTAGTTTGGACAGAGTCGATTGATTAAAATATAATAAGTTTAATTGATTCAAAGCCACAAACTCGGAAACTCAGGTTCTAGACATAGCTGATTTTTCCTTAAGGCACATGAAACATGGATTTTATGCAACCATGTAAAATTACATGTTCTCTATTATGTGATTGACTGGTTCGTTACAAATATTTTTCATAATGTATATTTTTACATCATTTTACTTTTAAATTTGTTTTAGGTAACTGTAGATTTTGGCCCACTCTAGATTTTTTTGAAAAATAAACTATCTATATCTATGTTTCGTTATCATTATATTTATTATTCACAAGTTCAAACTTATTGCAATCTGCATGTATTTGAGAATCGGTTATAAAAATAAATAAATATATTTTAGTAATCAAAATCATATGACAAATAATTAGTTAGATAAATGGTAAGAAAATAATAGGAATGATGTTTTTGAAAATATATAAATTAGAGAGCAAAAAAATTTACAAACAATTGACCTTTTTGATATCGTTTAGCCC